AAGCAGTTGTTGGTGGTTGGTGATCATACAGGGACTGGCTTGCTAGCCTACAGTTATCTTACAACTTCCCGATTCTCTGTGTTGTCATACATTAAATTTTCTAAACGAGAGACTGGCCATAAAATTTAAAGTCTCTAACTTGGTCAATAAGAGTATATTTTATTCATCAGTTGGACTTACCAGGTACCATGACTAAAGAATAGAATCTCTATATAAGATGATATATCTTGCAATGCATCTAAGCATGTTTGAAATTTACTTAGTTTAATGAATTATTACTTAGTTTTATAGATTTATTAGATTATAGAGAGATTCTGTTGTATAGTTATGACACCAGGTAAGTCCTCTGATGAATAAAGACTTATCTTGGCCAAATTCAATAATTTCAATTTTCTGGTCATACAAATTACAACATATATCAGATGCAGCCGATTACGTCATAAAGATTTTAACATTCCTACAAATGGAACTATACCTCTCTTCAAATATGGTTTGATATATAATGAAAAAATTCTTATGGATTACGTTTACTAACTTTATTTTAGCGACGTTTCGACCAGTGTTCTCTGGTCTTTATCAAGCAATAAACCAGAGAACACTGGTCTAAACGTCGCTAAAATAAAGTTAGTAATTGTAATCCATAAGAATTTTTTCATTATATCCAACACCTGTACCAATTGCCATTCAAAGATCATGGTTTGATATATTTTTCGGAAATTCTTGGTATTTATTGAATACAGTATATACATATGTTATAAAATATTGTTTACAAATTTACATTGTATATTTACATAGTGACTAAACAAACAATTAAGTCTCCCTTATCTTATCGTAGACGAAAATAATCATTAGCTGAAAAGTGAAACGGGTAGCTAAAACTCTTTAACGGTTTCTATTACCAAGTAATTTCTAGAGAACTGTAAATTTTTTATGCAACCGGAAATTAGGTAATAAATCTAATTTCGGCATAGCAAGTCACACACCTGTGAGTATGAGTCAAAATTGAAAGATAACCCGTGATTAGTTGGTACTGATAGGCCCTCATTTATCTTGAACTTCCGGTTGGTGTGTTGGAAACTCAGGTATAATTTGTTAAGTAATGCTTAAAGGGACAGATTCGCCATCCGTTTAACCATCTCAGAAACAAGAATTCCCTACCTATGCTTGGGCAGACCGACAAGAGAAAATCTCATTGCACACCACCCGTCTTCACTGTAACCAAAACAGGGCGTAGATTCCATTTTCATTTCAAATAAAAATTTTATATAAAAACCCCCTTTCTCTTTCCAGAGTTGGCCAACTTACAAAGCTACCCTGTATCTAAAGCTCAATGGACAGAAGTGAACAATCAAGTAATCCCAGATAATACGTTAATAGTGAACGTCCGAAATAGAGAAGCCGTCTTCTGCGAAGTTTTCAACGCTGCTAAGGTAAGTTATAGGAAATTTTTAAATTGCATGGTTATAGTTGCGTGGTGTTTCCAAATGCATTACGAAATGCAACAGTTCATGTACTGTATATTTTCGTTTACAATGCGCATGCGTTTATATATTTGAATGATTGATCCTCATAGAGGATAGAGATATAGGTTCGCCATTTTCGGTGGTTGTTTTGAGTCTTGAACATACGTCTATAGTCTTCAGAAGCAATAGAAATGTTCGGAAATCATAATTCTGAACACACATGGATATAAAATCTCAAATTTCGATGGTGAGCTGTGAACATTATTACTGATAAGCTTAACTAAAAAAAATTCCCGTTTCTGAGAGTAAGGTGTAATTCTTCAAACAGATGGCGATGAATCTATTAGTTTTTTGAAAAGTGAAACATTTCATTTCTATTCTTATTGCAGGATTCCTACATCACCGGAACGATGGAGAAATCAGCTAAAACATGCGAATACGAATTAGACGGCAAGTACAAGAGCTCCAGCACCTACAACGTTTTAACGACGCAACCGGGATTTCAATCAAGTTGGAAATATTCGGATAAATTCGTTCCAAGTGGTGCTATCAAATGTAACCAGGGGGTTAACTGCTATATTGGACAGAGCGTATACGGTGATGGAATTTGCAGCGAATTACCAGGAAAGATTTTCTATAATCCCGTTTTAAAGAGGTCTCAGATGATAATGGTAAAAGACGGCAAAGTTTACAAATGTCCCTTTACTACGTACTTAGTTGAAGTATAAAATCCGTTCACGTCCAAGAACTCTTTTTATTTGTTATTTTCTGTTATAATTATTTGTTGGTACGAATTGTAAATATGTTAAATGTAGAATAGAAACAGAAACTTACCTTATTCACGTTGTTTTACATTTTCAAGCCGGGATTGTTGGAGCGCTTGGGCGGGATCCCAAGGAAGCTGTGAGTGAGTTCTAAGGTAGTTGTGGGATCCAAGGCAGTTGTTTTGTGGATGGGATCCAGTGCAGTTGTTTTGTGGATGGGATCCAGTGCAGTTGTTGGTGAGTGGGATCTAATGCAGCTGTGGGTGGGATCCTATGCTGTTGTAGGCTGGATCCAAGACAGTTGTGGGTGGGATTCAAGGCAGCTGTGGGTGGGATCCATGGTAGGTGTGGGATGGGATCAATGCAGTTGTGCTTGGGATCCAGTCAGTCAGTTATCTACGGGATCCAAAGCATCTGTCTA